GTATTAGGTAGAGCTGCTTTGACTGCCTTTCTTAGCACAACTGTTAAGTTGTGAGGGACGGAGCCTTAGTTGTTCACCAGGGCAGAGCAACCTGCAGCCTGCGGGCTGGATGCAGCTCAGGGTGGCTGTGAATGCAGCCCAACACAAAATCATAAATCTACTTAAAACCTTATGAGATTTGTTAGTTATTACATGTCACGACGTGTGGCCCAAGACAACACTTCATCTTCCAATATGGCACAGAGACACCACTAGGTTGGACACCCCTGTCTAAATGGAATCATACAGGATGTACTCCATTTTTTACTCAGTATGATATTTCTCTGAGAAATATTCATGTTGTGACAAACAGTAGATTGTTCCTCCTCATTGTTGTATAATATTTCATTGTGTTACTATATCACATTTTTTCTTTCATCCAGTTGAATCATAGCCCCTAACAGTCTGCCTCTTCTAAGACCAAGCCAGATGGTTTTTTTCTTTTTTTTAATAACAGCTTTATGAAGGTGTAATTCACATACCGTACAACTCATCCATCTAATAAGTACAATTCAACAGCTCTGAGTATATTCACAGAGTTGTACAACACTTACCATAATCTTAGGACATTTTCAACACCCCCTAAAAAATACATACCCTGTAGCTGTCACTGCCCCCGTCCCCCACCCCTCACCACCCACCCTTAGCCCTTGGCAACTGCCAACGTACCTTCTCTCTATAGACTTGCCTTTTCTGGACATTTCACTATTGGTTTATACTGTGGAAAACATGGCAGGAACTGCCTAGAACACAGAAGCCAGTAAGCAACTTTGAATTTAAAATTTGTCTTATTTTTATGTTCATGAATAAGACAATGTTCATGAAAGTCAGATATGGTTAAGAGATGAAAATTTCTAAACTCCTTTAGCTCCCATTTAATTTATGAAGAAAGATGAAAGGGAAAAAGTAGTGACAGGGGAGGGAAGACAAGCAGTCATTTCTGTGTCCCAAAATGCCCCTTCTCTGGGCTCAGGTTGCAAAGGGGAGAGGTGACTTTGTGAAAGGGGCATTGAGGGGAAGGTACAGGAAGTGCAGCATCCTCCCCTCTCCCTATTAATAGGCAGTCTCCTCAGGCCACCTTCCTAGTGTACGTGTGCACGTCAGAATAAATGTATGGTGCGGCATGGTTAGCCTCGTACTTGCTTTCCCAGCTGCCTGTTACCCTGTAGCTTAGACAGTACCCAGAAGTTCTCAGATGTCCCCAAGGGGTTGACATAGAAGGGTCTGGCTAAGGAGCTGGCATATGTGTCACCACAGCAGGGGAAAGGAGGCCCTCTAGCTGCAGGTCAGTGGACAGACTCTAGAACTGTCCCAAATGGGAGTCACAGCCAAAATTTCAGGAGGATCCATAGCACCCCCAAAGACAGGTAAGTCTTGCTCGGCAGAGAGAGCCACCATGCCCTGAATGAAGTGAGATTTAAACAGTGGGAACTGGTGGAACAGGGAATAGAACTGGACCAACCACTGCTCACTGGACATCAACCAGCTCACATCCAAGGGTCAACACCAGGATGGGGCCATGAGGTTTCATAGGCCATGTGTCCCTGACAGAGATGGCAGTTTGGAGACGTCTTGGGGTGAAGTGGAACTCGGAAAGTCTTGACTATTTTATCCAACAGATATGACATCTATCAAAAAAAAAAAAGAAAAGACAGTTTCATTTATTGAATCGGATTAAGTTTGGACTTAAATATAGAAGTTTTTGTATACGTAGTAGAATGAGGATAAAGAAGATCAGATCAGTTATAAAAAAGTAAAGATACTACATTTCCTCGTATATGTGAGTGTGTGGTGTGAGTGGATTTGCAACCCTGATATAAAAGATGTTTTAGGAATTAAAGTGTTGAAAATGCCTGACACATAGGTAGTCAATAAAAAGTAGATATCACTATTAGTACTATTATTCCACCAGCCTCATCACTGTTACCGCTATAATAATTCACATTGTGCAAAGAAATCCTTTTCTCTTGGACGTATTAGGAAAGTACCTCCCAACATATTTTTTGAGAGTCTGCCTTTGCTCCCCTTCAAGAAACAATTAGTGACAGACGTGCTAATCCTACAGTCTCTTCCTGGCCCCATCTTCACCCACGACCCCTCCATCTTCCTCTTCTTTCTTCCACACTTTTGTCTAACTCCTCAACCTAAAGCACCTGGGCTACCTTTTTTCCCTAGGAAACGTGGTAGCCCCTTTAACTGAGTCTTCACTCAGTTAAAGAAAGAAACCAGAGGGCCTCTGAGAAAGGGGGACTAGATAGAGGGGTGTGTACATGTGCGTGTGTGATTACCAAGGCTTCCCAAACATCAGCAGAAAAGACAAAATGATGGCTACTTATGAGCATTAATAATAGAAAAAACCAAAAGAAAATAATGATTGATGGTTAAATTGAGCTTAATACATATTTGCTTAATAAATCATTGCAAACACAATGTGAATTATCAGAACTTCCTTCCTCCTTCTGTCAATGAGCATCATGAATTTGTAATCAAACTCCTTCTCTTTTGCCTGAACTCTGGAGGTCACCAAATTTTTACTCCCCACCCTACCTCACCCCCAACTTTTGCCAGGATGCAATACTGTTTACCTTAGCAGATCCAAAATTTTCTCTGTTGCTTATAATGCTCTTAAAGACACTTAAACTTCCTGTGCCCACGGTTGCCATATGCTCAGGATTTTCAGTACAACCCCAGTTTTGAGTCTCTCCTCCATCATTTCTGTAAATTCACTCATATTTTTTCACACAATTGAACCTCAGTGTTTGGTTCTGAAAGTATAGTCCGTCTTGTTTTCCATGATCGTTCCCTGAGAGGTCAGAGCAATTTTCCCATATCCCGCGTAGAAAGAGAAGCAAACATGTAGGGATAGATTTCCAGAACGTCATCCCATCCACACCCACCTCCCCACTCCGTTCCCTGCCGTGGCAGTTTAAAGGCCCACTCTGTGAGCACAGCCAGTCAGGAAATCAAACCCAGAAACCAGAGTGTTTAATTTACTGAGCGGTGACCATGGAGTGGAATGAGTTACTTGGTGCTTTTCGGGCCCAGACAGAGCCAGACTCAGCAGGCCGGCATCACCCGGCACAGCCGGCACCTCTGTAAGCAATGAAATCTTGCTCCGCCTCACTGTTCTCCTCCATCAAATGGGGCTAACAAGGGTGTCAGGAGACCTAATTGCTGTTTATTGAGAGCCTCAGCATCTTAGATGAAAGGCGTCAGAGCTGGGTCAAGCTTGTCCAAGATGAGTTAACACTTTGATGAGCGGAGCCCAAGGAAGACTCATATAACCCATGTCATCTGAGCATTATCCTGCCTGCAGGGAAAAGCAAGGTTTCACTCTACAGAGGACTCGTGGGGATTTTTTGTTCTCACAGTCCTTGAATTTCACTTCAGTTCTGAGGTTTGAGGAGGTTCTCAAGCACAGGGGAAATCCAACTCATTAGAGCCACAGGGCATTCAAAGCATCCCTTCCACATAGCCACGCACAGGGTAAGTACTCAGTAAGTGAGGTATTTACTACATGGCCCAATAAATTACTTTATTTGCTCAGATCTGTCCTAATGTCCATGAAACAGGTCCCAAGAACTAGGTTGGCATGACAATTTGAAATCACAAAAAGATGAGGAATTCTATGAAATTACATGATCATTCTGAGTTGTAGAAAATATTCATGCTCCATTGAGAATAATTTAGAGAGCCACACACATAAACCCTTGGGCTGAAGGCTGAGCATGCAGAAAACAGCAAAATGGTATGTGGTTCAAATCACTTGTATTATTTGAGCCGAAAGAGAGAGACTCTAAAGAAATCTGACAGATTTTTAAACAATTACATCAAAACTTTCCCATTCTCATGAGTGCAAACCCGAGGAGGCTACCCTCACATTCCAACAATGACACCATCTTTCAAAGCGTTTAAAAACTCCTCTTTAGAAACGTTATACAGGGCCCGAGGCCTATTCTTTTTACTCTCTGTTACAGTGGCACATCTTCATATTTGGAGGGTAAATTTGATTCATTTCAACAGCTAAAAACACATTAGGAACAGATGGGTAATTAAGTATTCTAGGTTGCAAACCAAAAAGAGAATATGATGATGATGTAATGAGAATTAGTTTTCTTATATAGCCGACAAACTGGCTCTAAAAGCAAATCCAAAGAAACAGTTCCAGAAGTGATTTTGGAGGGTTGATTTGGTAACTCTACTCACTCCCCGAAAAGGAACAAAACCAGCCTGAAGAGCACATCACAAGCGTCATTGTACTGAACACCTGCGTGTTAGGGTTTATCATTTACCATCGGCTTCAGCCTAACAGATCCTCCTTTGCCCTTCACAACTGCCCCTGTCCTGGGTCTGAGTGCGGGCCCATGATAATACTGTACAGCCTTGAAAAGCAGCTACCAAATACAATATTGAGACCATTTTTTTGTAGTGTTCTACAATTAATAAAAAATATTTTTAAATATTCAATTTTGGAAATGTACCAAAAGTCCTCAAGTTTAGTAAGTCTCCCTAGCGGTTAAGGAAGTCTCCCCAAATCCACAAGGGCCTCGAGATAAAGTATAGGATTTAGAGGTGAAGGTGTCGACTCAGTATCAGGAACAAGGAAGTGAATCCCCAGCAAGGTGATACTGATGTGAGTGAAACTTCCTCATCCTATAAAAAGGCTAAACCAACAGAACACAAGGAGAAAACAGGAAGTCAAGGACCACGAGACATGTAAAATCCTAATTCTAGTATCTTTGTTATTATCCTTAGAGTCATCAGTCCTTAACGTTTCTTACCTCCAACGTTTCCTTCCAGAAACAACCATTGCATCAGCATACGGTGGTCCCTGCTTTTCCACAGTTTCGCTTTCCGGGTTTCAATTACTTGTGGTCAACAGCGGTCTGAAAATATTTAATGGAAAAATTCCAGAAATCCACAGTTATTGTTTTAAATCTCCTGCCATTCTGAGACGCATGATGAAATCTCGCGATATCCTGCACCTTCCGGACTGGGACCTGCGTGAGTTATCCCTCCCGCCCCCGTCTCCCCCCGGGGAGATGGTCCCCCGTCAGTCACTTAGTGGCCCTCTCGGTCGTCAGGTTGTCAGACGGGCTGAGGTGGATATGCGATATCAAAGTGCTTGTGTTCAAGTAACCCTTCTTTTACTTAGTAATGACCCAAACAGCAAGAGCGGGGACGCTGGCAATTCCGGAAGGCCAAGAGAAGCCGAAAAGTATTTCTTAGAACTGAAAAGTTTATGTGTGTGCGCAGGAAGACACAGAGCACAGTCACGATGATGTTTCAGTCAACCACGAACCGCATATGCAAAAGTGGTCTCGTAAGATTATTAGGAAGCTGAAAGTTCCCTGTCGCCTGGGGATGTCGCAGCCATTTGAAGTTCTAGTGCAAAGCAACTCACTCGCAAGGTCGTGGTGGTGCGGGCGTAAGCCAACCTCCTGCGCGGCCAGCCGTGGGAAGCAGAGCCCTCACCAGGATGCACAGTGCACAGTGCTTGCTCGTGATAACACACAACTATGTTGCTGGTTCACGGATTACTAACCTGTACTTTTTAATGTTATTTTAGAGTGTACTCTTTCTACTTATTAAAAAAAAGTTTGCTGTAAAAAGTATGCTGTGTTAAGCCAGCATCAACCTCCTACGTCTCGTATTGACTACTACTCTTTTGAGATTTTATTTATTTTTAGAGAGAGGGGAAGTGCGGGAGACAGAGAGGGAGAGAAACAATGATCGGTTACCCCTCGCACATCCCCCAGCCAGGGACCTGACCCGGAACCCAGGCCTGTGCTCTGGCTGGGAATTGAACGGGTGACCTTTCAGAAACTGGCACTCGATCCACTGAGCCACACCAGCCAGGGCTACTGTGACTCTTAATTATATGGTTTTTCTTGTGTTTTATTTAATCTCATGTTGTTTTATAAATTTAGTGTAGCCTAAGCGTGCGGTCTTTATAAAGTCTCCAGTCGTGTATAGCAGTGTCCCAGGCTTTCACATTCTTACCACTCACTGGCCGACTCTCCCAGCACCTTCCAGTCCTGCGGGCTCCACCCACGGTACACTCCCTATACAGAAGCACCATCGTTAATTTTTATACCGTATTTTTACAGTGGCTTTTCTATGTTTAGATATGTATAGATCAGTGATTTTAACTGCTGTGCTGCAAGAATGTTTAAAAACACCCAATACCTGACTATTTACGCAGGGGCACTGACTTCTTTTCCCTTAGATTGTCAAATAAAAAAGTGATAACAGCCAGCACAACAATAGCCATACAGTGTGAATGAATCAAACTTATATCTGTTTTTTTGGCCAGATCGGCAAAAACTACATCTTTTGGCGCGCTGCAGAATTTTAGTAACTAATTTATGTGTGCCATGTTGAAAATCGCTGGTCTAGATAAACAAATGCCATTGTGGGTGGTTGTCTCAGCCAGTGGAAAGTTGACCTCTTGAATATCATTGCTCTGCAGCTTGAAGAAACCCCAAGAGCCCAGTAAATGCTCCATCGATGCAGCGATCCAGATGCAAAATGTGATACTGACGTGAGATGCTAGTTTCAGGAGCAATTTGGTCCAGCTGCTGGAAAGAAAAGCACTGTAGCAAGGGAAAAGCAGGAGGGAAAAGAAAACAGATACATTCTAGAAATAAGAACAGGTACACACTAACTGCTTAGCGGCAATGACTCCTAGGAGCATGCAACGTGACAGGTACTGCCTGCAAATTGCTAAGGAAAAAAGCAAGAATACTTTTTATGGACTGTCACTTTCCAATAGCAAGATATAGAAAGGTTAGCAATTTTTACATCAAGAATCACACTTAGGGAACCCTTTTGTTTTCTATACCCACTCCCCCCCCCAAAAAAAAACTTGTGTAGGAATTTCCATATAATCAGGTCCTCAAGTAAAAACGTCAGCATCCTGAAAGAAAAATGTCATTTCCTTTTAAATCACATGTCTTTGCTCAGGTAATTCTGGTGTTAGTTTAAAAAGATGGAATTAGAGAAAGCCCAGACTTTAGAAAATTAGGAAGTGATATTTCTTTTCCAAAGTATAAGAACAGATCAGAAATAAAAACAAGTAACATTTTACCCTGAAGCCTAAACATTAGGCTACATCAGGAGGCCAGGCAGCCGGGGCATGGGACACGCTCATGCCCCAGTGGAGGCGTATGAGACTCTGGGGCCACCTCCCACACAGGTGAGGGAAGTCTATCCAAGTAAGAGAAAGAGTGGAGCACAGTGTGCTGACAGGGGTTAGGGGTGGCCAGGCTGGCTGGGGTCGGGGGCAGGGAGGGGACATGGGGTGTAGACCAAGCTGAGCAGCACAGCTTCAGGGAAGCAGGCAGATGGACCTCTTTGCCTGGGGACAGCAAGGTGCCTGGAACCGCAGGGGGAGCTGGGCAGCCAGATCTCAGGAAGGGTGGTCGGGCAGAAGCTGAGAGCCGGCCACTCTCTTTTCTGCAGTCTGCACGTTTCATGTTCCTTAAAATTAGGTATAAATTACACAACTTCAGAATTAATCCGGATCTCCAATACCAGGCACCCAAGTTCTTTGCGGCACTTCGGCACTCATCGCTGGACTCCAAATTCCCAAGGAGGCAGCCAGCTCGTGTCTCCCAACAGCAGCCGCCTCCAGCCTGACCAGGGCAGGACATCTTTGGGTTGCCGATCCGGTCCACTGTGGCTGGACAGGGGACTAGAGCCCCAGGGGACCAGCACAGCTCCTTAGACAGCAGGGCTCAGGGCAGGCCAGTTCCCCAAACTCAGGTGACCCCTGCAGCTCCAGGAAGTCCTGGAGGGACAAAGAGAAAAATACCAGTACGGATTCTGACACAGGGGAACAACACAGGTACCCAGTGAGTAAAACTGGGGCACAAGAGGGAGGCTTAATTACAGGAAAAAGATAGCAGTCACCGAAATTGGGGCGCTCGGTGAAGGGAGGGCTGGAGACACGGTTGAACAATCGCCTCTCTTAAAGAGACCAGCCCAGAGCCCTGCACGGGGTAGGAAATCAATAAAGATCGTCTGGCTGTTTAATTAATTAACTCAGCAGCTTCTTTAGCTAAACCATGCCTGCCTCCCCTCCGAGGAAAACGTGGATCGGTGAGTCAGCGAGGGCTGCAGCCCTCCTGCATCGGAATCGCGCGGGAGCTTGTTCAAAATGCAGATGCCAGGCTCCCAAAGAGCCACGAGGAACCCGGGGCTCTAGGAGTTGGGCCCGGGAGTCAGCACCACACTGTCTGCTCATGCCGTGGACGTAGACTATCTTGTTCGACTTAGAGACTGTGGCACATTGGACCGTTCGCCCTGAACGTCAAGTTAAGGTGAATTTTTCCCCAGTGAAACAAAATGGAGGCACTGCCTGTATTCACACAAACACATCTGGTGTGTGAAAATAGAGGAAACCACACTTAACATGGAGTTAGGAAGGCCTGAAGGGGGAGCTCTGATGCATTTAACCGCTCCTGACAGCCTACAAAAACAACAGGAAGAAGGAAAATAAGAATTATTTTGACAAGGGAGGACATTTTTCCCATAGGAATTTCATCTCCTGCTCTTAAGAAAAGGAAGTTCCCTCCCTGCCCAGCAACTGGCACGCTAACCACCGCTTGCAGCCAATGAGAAAGCACTGCAGCCTCGAACTCTTGCTCTCTTCCAATTAACTTTTGTTCAAAACAACCCTCCCCAATTTCCTCCTAACACCATATAAAACCTTCCCTTTGTGTCTTTGGACTTGCCTATGGGTTGCCATAGTTTGCTTGTCCCAAAGTGCAGTTCTCTGCTATTCCTGAATGAACTCATTTTGCTAGTAAATGAGTTTATTTGACCAGCCATTTTATTTTGGAGGTTGCCAGGTGCGATTTGGCCCACTGTCCGGTGAGACGTGGTCCATGGGTGGAGGTTGTCTCCCTCCCTGCCTGCACACTTGACCGGTTTTCCCAGGCTCTGTTTTACTCACAGGGCCCAGCTGCAGGGCCGGGCAGTCCAGTTTCTGCTGCAATTCCAATGGCAGGATCTCAGCCCCACCCTCTGCCCATTGTGCTGGCCTCAACCCTGCTCCTAATTAGTCCCCGAAGGCGCCCAGAGCCAGAGCGCCCGTGGTGAGGCCAGTGGGTCTGCAAGTCTCTAAGTCCCAGCCTCTTACCTGCCTTTGCCATGCTGACCCAGACCACAGGAATGGCTGTTGCCTTCCTGTCCCTTACTAGTTTCTTTTCTTCATTCAGACGCATTTACTGAGCACCCAACTGTGTATCAGGTACTGAGTAACCAAAGTGAGCAAGTCCTTAGATTCCCAAGGGTTCCATTCTCCAGGAATATTGGTTGCTGTTACTGCTTTAATCTTCTGTTTTCATTTGATGATTTTTTTTTAAAAGCTGTATTCTGCCATATAATTCAGAGTTTATATTTATAGTTGTAAATACGTTCTTATCAAGTGACAGCCAAGCAATATCACGTTATGATGAACAATGAAGGGTCCAAAATAAATTGAATAATTAAGTAGTTAGGATGCCAAGTGTTTTGGGATCCAAACTCAAAGGAAGCTTGTACTAACCACATTCTCACCCTGTTCATAGACTCTATTTTGTAACTACCAGCTTATAAAAGTTTATTTATTGCAAATGTAGCAGTAAATGAACAAGAAAGAACTTTCCTGTTTCTCGTTCTAGCAATAATGTAATTAGACACTCATTCAATGCAGATTTCCAGGATGTGGTGATATTAACTTTACCTTTGAATGAACAAGACAGTTCCACAGATTTATCGAGGGCATTTCATTAAAATCGGCATTTCAGGAATGCTCAAGGGCAGAGTTGTAATTAACTATGAGGGCTGATTGTTCTGAACTCGCAAATAAGGCCAAGCTAACAGGCATTCTCTGTGTTAGCATTGAACATGAAAGCCACAGTAAATCAGAGCTGGACCCAAGACAACATGACTGATCAGTTTCAGAACAACAGCATCATCTGTCACACTAAATTAATGCAGCTTACTGGAACGATATTGGTTTTGCAGATGTATCTGTGCTTCATTCATACATTGACTTTGTTTTTGTAATAATATAATAGCTTGTACTTACTGAGAGCTTACTCTATGCCGGGCACTGTGCTAAGCACTTTACATGGATTATTAGATCATTCAATCTTCACAACAATTCTATGAGATGGGTGCTATTATTGCACTTTGCTAGTAGTATACCGAGGCACAGAGATTAAGTTGCCTAAGGATACATACCAAGTAAATGGTGGCTCTAGGATTTGAACCCAAGCAGGTCTGACTCCAGAACCTGTGTTCTTAACCACAGCACTGTACTGTTTTATAATTGTATCATTTTATATACACATACTATGTATATAACATGCATAACATTATTGAATACTGCCCTAATTGCATACTCTGTGTATATAATACTCCACACATATAAATGAAAACATGGAATTATGTAAATTGTATGTGCAAAATTTTACATAACTTTGTATTTTTACTTAAGTATTCACAGTAAAAATTATCTAGTCCAATACTCAGCTTGTGAGAACTTCTTTTCCTTCTTCATTGAGATTTAATTGAAATATTATATGGGTTTCAGGTATACAGCATGATGATTTAATATATGTGTATGTTGCAAAACGACCACCACAAAAAGCCTAGTTACCATAGAATTTCTTTCCTGATTAAACAACCAAAAAAAAAGGCCTGCAGTCTCCTTAAGTGAGAGAAATGCTCCTTTAGTGGCTTCTGCTCCAGCTAACAGGCACCCAGCCTGAACCCCAGGGGTGACTTGCAGGAAGGAGTGGCTCCGACGCCCGGCTGAGCTGAGCAAGCCCTCCGCTCCTCACATCTCCCTCACCCCTTCCCCTCACACGCCAGCCCCCTCCTCACTGGGGAGGTCCTGCTGTGTGGCAACCCCTGAACGCATCTCCTTTGATTCCGTGGAAGACCGTACCTGCCCCTGCACCGCCCGAGTCTCCAGTTCGCCAGGCCAGGATTACAAAAGTGAGTTATGCTGTTAAAACTGCATTTCAAGGGAGTCAGGAAGATGCAAGTAATACATGCTACTGTTTCACTGCAGGGCCCATGAATTGCCATCTTCCTCTTTGCAATCACAGAAATGGAACATAATTACAAGTTAATGAAACTGAATTTTGCATGTGACTTGGGAATGAAGAAAATGTAGAGTTGAAATTGCCCTCAGAACATTTAGTCAGAAGTTGCATCATCTGCTGACAAATACAAATGCTTCTACTAGCAGCCATCATTTCAGCCTTAAAAATTGACCCTCAGTGATCTTGATGCTCTTGGATGGAATCCTGTCCTCAGCGCAGTCCCCAGCTTCTGGAACGATGAAAGGTGATCACAGTAGCAGTCAAGTGCCTTTCTGCTCCTTTCTGGTCCCTGAGTCACAGCTGTGGCATTGTGTTCTTAAAGCCAGCCATCCCCGCGATGATCTACAAACAGCCCGTCTCCCCAGTGGGAGCAGAAGAGGCAGCTTCCCCAGCAGGCCGGCTTGGAAGCAGGTTCCAGAAGCCATTGCTGCAGCGTGGAGCCCGCATCCCCAGCCTTGCACTGACTTTTATATTGTTAATTCCATGCATCAAATTCCCCTTCTGCTTCCAATACTCAGAGTGGTTCTTGTGTCCAGAAAAGAGCTCTGCCTGATTCATGTTACACTAACACTCCTACAAAGAAGTACTATTATCCCTTATTTATAATCTGAGGAAACTGAGGCATAGGAGGTTAATTAGCTTGCCCAAGGTCCTATTTAGATAGTAGCGAAGCTGGTTTCTAACACAAACAATCTACCTCTACAGCTCTTACTCCCAAGGCTACACCACCTCCCCAGTATGCTATCTGAAATAGTAGGAATTAATGGGGCCTCCCTGGACTTGAATTATTTTTCTGATCTGATGTTATCCCACTTGTGATTAAAATTCCCAGAAGAGTCTGATTGGCCCAGCCTTGGTCTCAGATCCCACACTTCCCCCTTGATTGACAGCTTCATCAAGACTACAGTGGAGTAGGGCAGTTCCCCAAAGGAGTGCCTGGCTACTGTTTCCCAAGGGCAGGGTAAGGGATGCTGATCAGACCAAAACAATAGATGTCCAGTGCAGGTACCAAAACTGATCCAAATCTGATCATTGTTCAAAAGCATCATGGAAAAAAAACAGACAAATGAAATGTGCCCAGATATTACATGGAAACTTGGCCTTTGTTCTTTCACTAGTCCCACATGGCCCTGCAGCTCAGAGGAGGCTTAGGTGCAACCCGAATCTGGGTTCAGCTGCCACCAGCCGTCAAAGTTCCACCCCAATGAGATCAAAGTCGTATACCTGAGGCGCACTGGTGGGGAAGTCAGTGCCACACCTGCCCTGGCCCCCATGATCAGCCCCCTGGGCCTTTCTCCAAAAAAGGTTGGTGATGACATCCCCAAAACAACCAGCCACTTGGAAGGGTCTGAGGACCACAGGGAAACTGACCATCGGAACAGACAGACCCAGATTGAAGTAGTACCGTCTGCCTCTGCCCTAATCACCAAAGCCCTCAAGGAACCACCAAGAGACAGAAAGAAGCAAAGACTCATAAAAGGCAATGGAAATATCACTTTTGATGAGATCATCAACATTGCCCGACAGATGAGGCACCGATCTTTAGTGAGAGAACTCCGTGGAACCATTAAAGAGATCCTGGGGACAGCCCGGCGTGCGCTGCCGTGTTGATGGCCATCACCTTCATGACGTCGGAGAGGATGTCAGCGGTGACACAGCGAATGCCCAGCTAGCGAAGAACCACGAAGGAAAATATTTCAGTTAAAGATCATCTGACAACCAAGAAAAATAAAAATAAATAGTCCCCTATGGACCTTGAAGGCCGCTCATAAAATGTGAAGCCTCTTGTAACACAGTGCAGGTACTGCCTCAAAGCTGCCCTGGGAGGAAGCCAAACAGTGGGAAGGAAATATGGCAGAGAGGTGGCACTGAGGAGTGCGGTGACTGGGTGCAGAGGTCACCCACTTTGCAGCCCCACCCACTGCAGGGAGGGCTTCTGGGAGGTTCAGGCTGAAGCCCCTGCAGAGCTCGATGATGGTTTGGCACACACTGTCACGGTAAATTGCTAGAAAATGTCCCTGTGCTAGAACTGAAAAGGCTTAGAGGTGCCCTGAAACAGCCTGTTTGACCAATGAGAAGCCTGACCCCCAAATGCCCAAGCCAGCATGTATCTATGGGCACCGGATAGATTTTTCCATTTCCCAGAGATTTTGCAAGTTCATTTCAGCGATATGTTTTATGGTGCACTTGAGTGGTTCCAACACTTCTTATTTAACATTTTTAAGTATGTTTAAAGATTTTTTTTTTCCAGACTTAAAAAATAAAAGCCGCTCTTTCTCTCTCTGTTCCACCCCCCCTTCTCCCCCCTCTCTCTCTCCCTCTCTCTCTCTCATATTCTTATCTCAGGTAAATCCCTAACTGGTTTATTTTATAATCCCTTGCTCCCAAGACAAAAAGGAAAAGGATTTTTAAAACCCCAGCCAGGCACTCTTTGCTGCTTTTACTAAGATTTTCCCATCATTCCCTGAGGTTTCTCCATTGATCACTTTCCATTGTTATTCTCTGCTTCCCATGGAAGGTTGATTATGTGACTAAGAGTTGGGTGCAAAAACTTGTCCCTGATTATCACATTTTCCCAAAGCTCTGCACTTTTCCCAGTTCAAACTTCACGCTTTTACTTTTCCCTACAATATAAGTGATCTCCCAGCTGTAAACTCATAAAGCCTCAGTGGTGGAGACTTGGCTTGCCATTTGGTCATTCCTGGAACTGACCAAAGTAGGAAGGTCTCAAGTGTCATCTTATGAAGACCGCCTTTCCCAGCGGTGAGACCAAAGGACCCAGTGTAGGAAGGGGAAGAGGATTTTTTCTAAGTGAGGCCAGCTCCCGGCAGCAGTCAGCAGAGCAGCAAGGCCGTTTATCACTAACCAAAGGAGGCAGGTGCTTTATCTGCCTGTGTAGATAAAGTTGTCTCCAGGAACAAGGCAGAAATATATGAACCCTTGGGCATTCTTCCTCTTTTAGAATAGGAAGAAAGGAGTTCAGGATGGTTGGGTCTTGCCTGATAGGCCTGGTAATTAATGAGCAGATAACAGTGCTGTTTACCGTATTAGCTAAGAGAGAAAATGTGCAGAGGAATGAAAGGAGGAAAATCATGTGCCTGACAATGCTGCCCAATCAGATCTGGGAGAGCCAAAGCTCTCCGGACATTCAGGGAGAATTTCTAAAGCTTCCCCTAAGTTGCTAAACAATCGTCTCCCCACAACAACTAATTTTCATCAACAAGAGAACAGCAGGGCCTTGCATCAAGACTTGAAATGATAAATGAGCATCAGGACTGGTCATGCTGATAAAAACTATAAACTGTAACCACGGTGGCAGCCCTTTATTAGGAAGCTCCAAAGTGGAATCTCTCCCTAAGGGGACTGTCTACTCACAGTTGTGCCCAGCCTTGCCCTGGCGGAAGCTCAATTCATGTGCTCAGAGGTGACAATAAGAAATCCTCCCTGAGGGGTGGTGTTGTCTGGGATTTCTTAGCTGTGTGACCTTGAGCCTGGGCATGTCCCTTCTCCATACTGCGTATTGAAGGGGCACAAGAAAGTACATTTCCTCCTTTCATATCAGAATCTCAGAAATAACTTTTTGATTTTTAAATTAAAATACACTGAGGTAATGCCAAAATTAAGCACATGTTTGGGGAAACCCATAGCTCTACCACATTGCGCTACCAAAGCTACTTCATCAATTTACCCCCTCCCTTTTATTTTTGCAAAGTTAAAGTCATAATGTACATGTGATCACTTTGTTCATAATCATAATTTCTAAGAAAAGCATATGTCATCATACTGTTGGGCCTGATTGAGTAAATCACTTCCCTGTTGTTCATCAGAGTTGGAAGAGTCCCAACCAGCACAAGCCCATAGAGGCCTCCATTTGTTATTGAGATTGGAGTTGGGAACTCGGCTTGGGGGGCATTTGCTATAGCACATCTACATGACTCACCCAGCTGCAAGTGTGGGGCCAGTTCAGGTGGGATAAGCTCCCACTGCAGATGTTGTAGGGGCTTGTGGAAAATTCCAAAAGCTGGAGCTTCATCATAGAACTGAGACTAGGGTGAGAAGAGTGAGGTCCCTTAGGTGCAAAAACAAATCAATAAACCTCTATATGACAAATCAAACCATAATTAATTAAGTTTAATAGTGTTTGTCTTTCACATTTTCGTTACTAGCATTTAAATCTTTAACATGAACAAATTTTTTTCTTTTAAAATAACACATTTTATGTCATTCTCTTTTCATTGAAAAAGGAATACATGTATGCATGTGGTTTTTAAAAAATCCGAACCAAGTAGATTACCTCGGTTCCCAGACTTCTATCCTTTGTTGAGAAGCAAACATTGCTAATCATTTCTTCTGTGTTCTTTCAGAATTTTTCTTTTCATATACATGCACGTTTATATGTGTGTGTCCCTTTTTATTGTTTGCACAAATGAGAACACACACTATATTGCACTTGCTGTTTTTGCTTGACCTCAGATCTCAGATTGATCCATCTTGGCATATATAACCTACTTCATTATTTTTTAAAGAGCTGAATCGCTTCCCATTATATGAAAGTGCTTTCATTTATTTAAACCATTTCCCTATTGAGAGACATCTTTACAGCTTCTAGGTCTTGGTTTTGGTTTTAAATTGCAAATAATGTTATAACCATAACTTTTTTGATAAATTTGGGGCAACCAGAAGTTTTAGATTTCCTGAAAAATCTTAATTCAATGTACTTAATTAATTAATTAATTTCAATGAAATAATTTGTATAGATTCCAGAAAGGCATTTTAGAAAACTTAACACTTCATTTCTGATATTTTTAAATTATTTGCAAACAATAAAGAGTGTATCGATTTTCCTCCTTCATAGGAAATAATAGAAGCTTCCCATTAGAGTCAGGAAAAAGTCAAAGATGCCCACGCTCCTTGCCATTGTTTTGCATTGCTCTAAAATTACATGTAAACGAAATAAACATGTATTAAAATTTGAAATAAGGAGGCAAAATTATCCTTTTCTGCAATGATGTGTTATTAACTGGAAAAACACATGAGCAGAAAATCAACAGAAGAGCTGTTAGAAACGGCAAGAGCATTCAGGGAGGTGACTCATATGCCCTTGATGGCTGGTGAGCAGCACAACCCCTTGGGGACATGAGATGCAATGTGGATTATCTATCAAAACTAAGTGTGCACGTGCCCACTGGTCCTGTAAATTCTATTTCCAGGAAGGAATCTTTCAACACACTAACTCTGGGCTCAGAGACTCATGGGCCGAGGTAAGGAGATTTACGGTAACTTTTGTGGAAAGTAATACAATAAGTAATAATAATACAGGAATAAACTCTGTGTTTCACATACTTATAACTGTAAACCTAATTTTGCCTCCCATATGTGTGCATAGACAGAAATACGGAATAGATAGAGATATGTCCATTAAAGCATGTGCTATAATAGCAAAAAGGCTGGAGACAACTTGTTCTTTTAAAAGGCCGCCTATACATGTATGAGGTGGTATTACATGATATGAGCCTAAAATACTTTTTCAAAGAATAGTCAAGAAGTGGGTCTTAGTATGTGTCTCTAAGGAACGAAGCCCGGAAACGATGAGAGGGAGCTTTGTGTCTCATCATATCCCTTCTGTACAGTTCAAATTTGCCACATGCCCGAAAACACCTGCCTTTAAATGTGATTTATTTTTTGTACCACATGCAAGGATTTTCTAATAGATCAATTTATTTTCATAAAATCCTTGATCAAACCCAGAAACTGATACTTAGTTCAGAGGGATTGCCTTTGTTCAGTAAACAAAAGCCTATTCATTTACAGGAAGGGGAGGGAAACAACACCTTAGTGTTTTGGTGTTTTTGTTGTCATCGCTGTGGTTACGCTTATTGTGTTTCAGTCTTGATAGCTTTGACATGGGATGACTGTGTCTCTACTCATCAAGTGACTTTACTGGTCCATACTCTTTAAGTTCTGTGGCCAGGTACCAATTCATATCATTAACGTGATGAGTCCTGCTGACGTGTACGCCAGGATGACCTAGTTTCCCTGAGGGTCTTCAGGGACCCAGTCAAAAGGAGTAACACCGATCCAAGGCCAGCGGAAGGGAGAAAGGGCCCCTCACCAGGTGGCTGTTCTGCTTGCTCTAGCTGGCTCCTCCCGTCACAGCGACTACCACCAGTGACAACACAGTTCCACTCCCAGCCTCCTTCACTTCGAGTGTCTCCATCTGAAGCTCACTTCTAATATGTGGAGGGTGCTTGAGTAATTCTAGTGGGTGCAGGGTCTGCAGGGTCTAGTGGGATGCAAATAAATAAGGACATGTGGCATAAGCAACAGAAAATTCTACGTTTAATAACAACATTTTACCTTAAAATTACCCAAGACTAAACTATATTGATCAGCTCCACAATCCTAGTCCAAGAGGGACCAGATTCTGCTGCACCCAAATCACTGGGGGCACCTTTAAGTGGAAGAATTCCCAGGCTGCACCCCCTGAGATTCTGCTTCACTAAGGCTGGGATGAGACCTGGGAATCTATATCTGTAAGACACTCCCCAGGTAAGTCTGATGCACAGCCAGGCTCGGCAAACATAGGTATAAATTATTCAGTTACACCCAAATTATTGTGAACCAAATAACAGTCTAATAAATTTAGATGTGACCCTTTGAGGAAGAAAAAAAAAAGTCCCAGGAAAAATTGCTATCATAAAAAAA